GTCCGATCGAGCACTCGCGAGGCGAGGGGCTTAGTCGTGGCTTTACGCTTTAACGCCAAAAGATGGAGAAGAAGGAAAATCCAGGTGGAAGTAGAAGAAGAGAGGCCAAGACCGAGGACAAGAGCGACGAAAGGGAAACGAAAGGTAAAACGTGGCGACATCGATACCAAAAGACGGCTGAGAATCCGATAATCGTTGCGTGCGCTGATAAACGATCCGTTCCGAATTCGCAGGCGACGAGATCTGCGAATCGCAGGGAAGAAGAAAGCGTGCCGGTTTCGTGGAGAGTTTGCCTAATCGCGATCCCAATCGCGACGGATAAATTTTTGTTTCATCTTTCCTTCCCTCTTTCTCCGTCGATCAGGGAGGAGGAGGCGTTATCGCTCGGTCAGGCAGTCTCTCCCACGAATCGCGGCCGAGCGAGCGCGACCCAAATTGTCGCGGTGACAATTCCACACACAAGATATCACAACAATATTCGAAACCACCGAATCGATTAAGTACAAAAGAGGAGTTTACGCGAAGAGGACGTGTCGCGAAGCAGTACGGTAACGGCTTGTGCTTGTGGAGGGAAAGTGAGTATATACAATGTGAATGAAAGGAGAGAATTATTACGAGCGATTCGCGCTTCGAAACCGCGCGACAGAGCCGAAACGCACTTTCCTCTCGTTTTTTTATCCATCTGTATATAAATATCATTTATTAGCGCACTTATTAATATATTTACCGCCTCTATAGGGGCTCCTATTACTACCGAGAAAATATAACATTCTTATAAATACAATGACCGAGTGAGTTTCAACCGTGTCTTCATTTCGCCCATGCAAGGATCGGGCGTGTACGACCGAGTACCATACGCCGTCGTCTTTTATTCCTCTATTTATGGTCCTTTACCCCCATCCTCCTCCCATCCCACATCTTCTCTTCTCCACTCGGAGCGAAATCGCGACACGGATATAAAGACGAAGGGAAAGGGAGAGAGAGAGAGAGAGAGAGAGAGGGATTCAGTGATTTGTGCAGGGCGTATTGTCCGCGCGGTACAGGGAAATGGCTAGAAACCGAGCCGTGACACCGGTGGCGGGGACCGGGGAAAAGGGGTGAGGGAGAAACAGGCAAGGGGAGGCAACGCGATTTCCCTAATGCCTTCCAGCCCACGGAGTTGAATGTTATTATGCACGGTGAAGACTTTATAATAGGACGTTGAAACTCTTTAAAACTCGCGGAGAGCGGATCCTCTAACCCCCTTCGTTTCGTTGCCCTCGTCCCTCGAAAGGGCTCGTCACTTCTCCAACCCAATTTCTCCTCGTTACGCCCAAAAAGTCGAGAGTTTCGAGTTCCTCGAGTCGATCTATATATATATATGTATATTTATTTCGGTATAAGAAACGATTCCGTATATCAATTTCATTAAAAATCTAGTAGCAACGTTTCCCATCCCAACGTTCGTTCTATTAGATCTCGAAACAACGAGTCGATCGATCGACTGGTAAACGCTACTAGCTGAAGATGTAACGGGTCCCGATTCACTCTCCTCATCCCCTCCCCATCCAGCCGCATTAATCACGCCGAAACCGCGAATAGGTAGGTGGAGCGGGGGAGACACGATGCGGTATCGGGTAGAGAGGGTAGGAAGAAAAACAGAACCCCTTAAAATAATCTGGGCTGAAATGAAATCAGCCAAGGCAATTTCCAGCCCCTGTACCCAACGGTGATGTTAACAGCGCCGCCGGTTTTATCCATCCACTCCTCCATGCCATCCCTGATTCGAGCGCGGTGCAACCGACAAATGACG